ACAAGCCCGATCGGGGTGGGCCAGCTGGCCAACTCATGGCCCTCCCCCCTGGCCAGCTGCCCCTGATCAGACTCTCCACCCAGATCAAGAGCCGAGAGCTGGCCACCGGCCAAATGCCCCCTCCCTTCCCCCTGGCCAGCCCTGTTCCAATCAGCCCGCCCACCACAAGAGGCCCGTAGCCCCTCCCACCGGCTCGCCTGCCCCGATTGCACTCCCCCACCCCAATAGGGGGCAGGGCTGGCCAGCCAACCTCCTGCAGCCCCTCCCCTTGGCTGGCCACGCCCCCGATGGGCCCCCACCACCCTGATCAGCCTGCAGCCCCTCCCCCTGCTGGCCCTGCCCCTGACTGCCCCCCCACCCTAATAGGGGGCAAGCCCACCAACCTCCTACAGCCCCTCCCCATGGCCGGTCCTGCCCCCTGTTGACCCCCTAACCCCAATTAGGGGTGGGGCCCGCCAGCCAATTGCCCATGGCCCCTTCCCCCAGCCGGCCTGGCCCTGATCAGGCCCTGATTGGGGCGGGCCGGATGACCAACCTCCTGCCATCTCCTCCCCCCCGACAGGCCAGCCCTGATCCGCCCCTATTGGGGCCGGGCCAGCTGGACGCCACCCTTGCACCTTGCACAAATTCATGCACTGGGCCTCTAGTTCTAAATAAAATCAGTTCAAAGAGGGTAGGTAGAAGCAGAAGTAGAGATTGTAGGAATTTATATTTATTTGGAAATGTTGATGAAAGGGGCCACATGCTAACCTGACAAGCTCAGGAAAGGCCTACATGGCAGTCTTGCAAATCTAGAGACCTAAAGTAATCCAAAGGATGGTCTGAAATTAAACTTTAACGAAAAGCAGTTATGGTGGGTAGTTACATCCTAGGCCGGTATCCTCACTGACAAGGTCAACCTTTACCTTAACTGAGCCTATCTGTCTTTTTGCATCTATAATAACATATCCTTGAAATGTCTGGGTAACTTGTAACTTCCCTTTTTCTGGACCCCTTGGGGCACAACCTCATGTGCCTGGGTGCCAGACAGATACCACAGATTCCTTTATTCCCTCATGTTAATTGTTGACTGTTGGCTATCCTACACCCATCTAAGTTTGTGTCTATCATGTTACTTTTTATCCAATCCTAGAGGTTCACCTCTCCTCCCTCCCCCTCTCCCCCCCGCTTGGCTTTCTCCAGCTTCTCTAGTCTATCACCAGTGGATTTCATGTAACCCACCTATGTCCCTCCTTTGATTGTAATGTATAAAATAGATGAAAACCTGCCATTCTCCAGAGCACTATCCCAATCCATTGAGATACTGCTTCCCGGCAATTGTTGACAGTTTGGCTCAAATTCACAAAAGTTCTTTACAGGTTTGAATAAAAACTAGCTCGGAACAAGTAGTAAACAATAAAATAACAAGGACTACCTTGCATTGGTCAGTCTACGAATGAAATAAAATTGATTATTTGTAAGAGTGTAGAGGAAGGGTAGCCTTATCTCATGCAGCTGTACTGAGCAGCCCAGGCCAGAGCTTCCTGCCTGTTTGGTTTTCCAGAAAAGTGTCTGATCTCATTTCAAGTGCAGCTTTCAGTTCAACGAAGCAGAGGCCCCAAAGGAAAATCGCTTCTGGGCAGCCACCCGGAGAAGAGTGTTTTTCAGAAATGCTCGTCTAGGTGTGGGTTTGGTGGAAGCCAAGGACAACTAAGAGAATAAGAGGAAAAGAGAAGGAAGTGGGATTTTATTCCCTTATTCCTCGCACCCAGCACAGTACTTGCTTGCTTAACGGGATGCAGAGGAGAAGCAGTTGAGGCTGGGTGAGTAGCTTAATCTCTGTATCAGTTTCTCCATAATAATACCTATTTCAAACTTTGCTTCGAAGGTGAGTGAAATGATGTATAAGAAGGCATGTTTTGAGTCCTAAAGCACTATATAAAGTTAAGACATGGAAGATTAGAAAGATGATTCTTTGGCCCGCATGCCAGCACCTCAGTAACTAAAAAGCACTACCAGTTTTTCATTATCATTTTATTGAAAGTATTCAATAAAGCAGGAAATCTTTACATTGTTTTTCTATTGTGGGGTCCAATGAAGCTATTACTTTTTGGATACACATCTGTTTTGCCCCTAAGAATATACTTCCTGGGCTCCCTCTTCAACATTACCGGCCATTATATGCGAGCTCAGCTTCTGTGGTTACACCACTCTGCCTGGCTTCCATTACTTGGGGGTGGGGATGGGGCTGCTGGCCAGTCATTCCATGGATATTACCACGCCCAGGTCTGTGTGCGCCTGTTCCAGTTGGCTGTGGCCTGCAGAGGGCCACCCGGAACTTCTCAGGGATGCCCGTGCCTTTCTCACTAGCACATTCCTCATGTCCTTGGTGAGGGGGAGTCCTCTGAGCCCTCCCAGGGAACATAATTCTCTGGTGGGTTTTCTGTTTCATAATATACCCATTCCAGCCAGCCCCCTTTTCTCAGCTCAGCATTTCTACTTCTCTCAGGCTGGTCACCACTTACGCCAGGTGTCTAAGGAGCCACCCTCTCCTGTCATCCTTGCCTACGGTGTTAGGTCCTGTGTCCTGAGAATATGACCAAAGCCAGTGAATTCTTGCTGATCCAGTCTTCTATTCCAGCACCTTCCGACAAACGTTCAGCCAATATCAGGGGCACTCCCTCAGCTCCTCCTTGTTCGTGCTAGCTAATTCCTTGGGCTGTTTCAGTGTATAGACTCTTTCTTCCCTTACCAGGCCTGCACTTCCCAGCCTGATGGCTATTCTAGGGTTTAAGCCCAGTATTCCGTGTGCCTGCTCGGGGAGGAAAGGGGCAGTTTCTGAGGGCACTGTGGCCTGGCCAGGGACGTGTTCTGCAGCGCAGCGGTGTGCTGCCTCCTACCTGGGTGCAGACCAGTGTGTCTGGGGTCTCCACCGATGTCTCCACCCCATGTTTGAGTGTGCCAGGTTTTTGCGGCCAGAGCCCTGACCTTAAATACCAGTCTTGGCTGTGCAGTTCAAACTTTCATGCCTTTTATTTGTGGATGTCAAGCTGTGGCCCACAGGCCAATCCTGCCCACGGCCCTGCTGTGGACAGCATGCTAAGAGCTGCTTTTACATTTTTCATGGGTCTGAATATTCTCAACAATAAAGATAAATGGAAAAGAAAGAAAAAAAGAAGTGCAGAGGCTGACCACCCTGTTTGATATGTTGCCGAGTCTGCTCTTGCACTGCCGTTGATAAGGGCTTCTTTGTAAGCCTTCAGGGCGGCTCCCAGGCTTTCACATGTGGTTTGCACCTGCTTGGTAATGGCCCTCAGTTCCTCCTCATTCTCCTGCAGGGCATCAGTGCAACCCACAGTCACCTCAACTGTTTGCAGGCAGTGTTCTCCCCATCTTTCACATGCTTGAATCATGGCACCTGCACAGGCATTTCTCTTCCCTGGATTTTCCCAGGTCACCTCTGGTTAAATCTTTAGCAATGAACGGCCAGAGACTGTCCCCAGCCCCACTCCGGACAGCATCCTTCTTGCCTACTTGGCAGAGAGTGAACCTGTCTCAGAGCTCCATCTAATCACTGTTTCCTCCGGCCACTCCTGGCACCATTGTGATACTTTGGGTGCTGAGAAGCAAACAGTGAGCATTACCTGGTCAAGAGGTTTATTGTGGAAAACAGTGAGGGGAACATCAGCCAGGGGAGGCCAGGAGAGCCATCAGAACACAGTACAGGTCTGATGCCTGTGAAAGAGGGAGGGAGAGAGGGAGGGAGAATGGGAGGGAGGGGCTTAGACTGAGCAGCTCTAGGAGTGGGGAATTCTCAGTCCAAACTTGCCCATCAGAGGAGTCCCCCTCCTCAGGAATGGCACTTATGTAAGTACCCCCACCACTCAGTTCCTGGCTGAGGGCAGCATAGTGTGGCCTTGGCATAGACTTGATGGCTAGAGACAGCATTTAATGACGGTTCCTGCGGTTGGGGGTCTGAGGTGGGTTTTCATGCTGCCGCAGTTGTCTGGGAGGGCCGTAATGTGAGCCAGGGGTTGAATGTCCAGTAGAATAGGGCCAGAGAGTTGGCTGCCCTGGATTTTCTCCCTCTGAGCTCACCATGCCTGCCTCTAGTGTTCAGGAATGGAACCGAGAAGAAAGCTGCTTAGGGATAAAATGAAAACCCTCATCAGGGCCAAGTAGCAGGGCATGGGAGAGTGAGTGGAAACATTCCCAGCCAGGTAGGTCAGTGACAGATCAGAACGGGGCCCGGCTTATCCTGGAATTCTGTCCAGGGGTAAAGAGATGATTCGATAACGACGGCGACTGTGCTAGTGTTGTCCTCAGCATATCTGTCTCTTTAGTCAAACAGCTTTCCTACACATCTGGCATTGTGGAAGGTGGAAGAATGGAATAGATCTCTGATTTGTGTCAGGTTAAATGATAGAGTTAAAGAAGTATAGACCTGAGGTCCTTTGGGGATTATCTAGTATTGGCTACCAGCCAT